ACTAGGAGCTTACAACCAAAAAACATGATAAACCCGCACTCTCTCATCACCAACCTTCTCCACTAGCAAAAACATGCCACAGCCAGACGACCCGGGCCCGTCGGCGCCGCGGTACATCTGGTTCACGAGGCTGGCGCCGCCGCCGCCCGTGTACTGCTCCGAGACGGGGCGGCTCGAGCGGCGCGTGCTTGTGGACCGCGTCAGGTTGCCAATGGGGATGCGAGGCGCCGTCTCCGGGTCCTCGTGGGCCGAGTAGCCCGACGTCGGCATGACAGACATGGGCCGCGGGCGGGGCTTGCCGCTCCCGACGGCCATGGACTTGGCGCGCTGGAGGAACGAGGGCACGACGGGGCCCTTGTCGGCGGGCGGTGGCGGGAGCTCCTTGTCGACGTTGGCGGCGCCGGGGAGCTTGAGGTCGCTGCCGGACTGGTCGAGGATGTGCTCAAAGTCCTGGTGCTGCAGCAGGCGCTCGATGATCTTGTTGATGTACAGCGTCAAGGCCTTGTTCTGGTCCTTGGACGCCTTGATCTCGCTCTCGAGGCGACGGACCGCCTCGCCGTCGTTGTCGGTGCCTGCGGCGTCGGAGAGCTCGTCGGCGAGGCTCGTGCCGGCGGTGCGGCCCTCGAGCGCGTTGAGGGCGTCCTGGTTCGCCGCGGAGCTTCCCATGTAGCTAAAGTCGTTCTTATTGAATTCGCCGCTGAGCGTCTTCTCCTGGAGAAGGAGCTGATAGCTCTCATTGTCCTCCATGAGACGGGCGTTGGCCATGCGGGCCTCCATGAGGAGCCTCTCGACCTCGTGGAGGCGGCCGCCGCCCGAGTTCTCCGACTCGACGAGCTTGATCTGGGCCTCGGCCAGCTCGAGGCGAAGGGATTCGATGAGCTTGTCCTTTTGCAAGAGGAGTTTGGAGTTATTTCGCGAATCGCTGCGGTTCAGGGAGGATGGGGGCGCGAAGCCGCCCTCGACGGAGGGCGAATGTGCTAGGGAGGACGTTAGCCGTGGTGCCGTGGTGCCGTGGTGCCAAGGATTGCAAAGTGCCAGATGAGTGCTTATGCCAGGAAAGAGCAGGAGAAAGGGCAAGGGGGGGTGGACAAACGTTGTCTTGATGGCCGGACGTCATCGTCGTTGTTGGCCCTCTGAGCCAGACTGTCCTTCAACCTCTGGATGACCATTTGCATCTCCTCCTCTCGGTTGGCCATGTCTTCCTTCTCCTTGTTCATGGAGCTCCGCTCCGCCTCGTAGATGGCCTCCATCTCGCGCATTTGCCTCGCAGCATCCCTCTTCTCGTTCCGCAGCGTCTCGGCCAGTTCCTCGTTCTCGTGGACCTTTTCCTCGAGCTTGGCCGACGCCTCGAGGGCGTCGTCGAGGCGGGTCTGCAGCACCTCGGCCTGCTTCCTGTACTGCTCGGCGGAGATTTCAGCCTTGGAGAGACGCTCCTTGAGGTCTTCGAGCTGGGTGACGAGCTCGGCACGGGCGTCCTGGTCGGCGTCGGTGGCGCTGTTGAGGGGCGAGTCCTTGCGGCCGGCCACGGGGCGCGTCGGCGTGCCGGTGCGCGTGGAGCGGGTGCGCGAGACGGCGCCTGCACCGCCGGCGCCAGAGACGGAGGGCGTCGAGCGGTGGGCGCTCCGCGCAGGGGACGAGGAGGGCGAGGCGGTGGGATCGGTGCTGGCGACGCGACCGACGCCGGCGGCGGGGGGCTTCTTGGCGGTTGCTGCCGACATGGTGGGTGGCAGGGTGGTTTGCTTGCTTTTCTGGGAAAGTTTTTCTGGAAAAAGGATGAGGCGAGTGCTGGTGGTGGTGTTGTTGTTGCTTTGTTGTCGTGCGTGGAAAGCAGAGTCGACGATCGGCTTGAAAGGTCGCTCTAGCCACCGAGGTGAGGTAGGTACCTAGGGTAGGTACCTAGGGTAGGTAAGCTGTGGCTTCGCTGTCAGGCGACGGTCGGATGAAAAATCGACAGCAGATGAAACCATCAATGACGGCTCGCCGTGCCAGTGGTAAACAATGGAAGGGCGATGTATGAATGGGCCGTTGTGGTTGTTTGGCAAAAGGACGAGTAGTAGGGTCGGTACGCCAGACGACAAGGGCGGTCAGAAAGACAGTTGTGATTTCGTGGTCGCTGGGGAACGTGAAAAGGAGATAGGAGATGATGCGACTTGGGGTCTTTGTCTCTGAATGAATGCACTGCAGATTGCCCCGACAAGCCTGACGGAACTGGGATGGCGGCCGCAGCCCTTTCTTCGACGTCCAAGGCCAGGTCACAGGCCAGTCCACAGGCTCCAAGGGCCGGAAGGGGAAGGGTACCTGTCCTCAGGGTACCTGTCCTCAGGGTACCTGTCCTCAGGCCAAAGTACTCCCTGCCATGTACCTGCGAGTGTACTTTACCAATGTAGGGTGTACATGGTGATCCCCGTCCCACCCCGCCCGTCCGTCGGTACCTCCACCACATGTGAAATGAAGTGTGATGCTGCGTTCTGGCCAAGGCAGGAGGTGCAGCGACTTATTTTGGCCTCTGATCAGTGTGGCAAGCACCTACCTTGGTAGCTTACCTGACCTTGGTACCTACCTAAAGGGAAGATAGGTACCGTCCATGTACCTGCTTGCCTGCCAGTGGTACCTTTTTACGTAGCCATCATCCCACATACACCAAGGGCAAGACATGGTACCTACCTACCTTACCTAGCTATCTACGTATCACAGGTAACGGTCGAGGACGAGCATCCCATCTTCCCAATTGTCTCGATTGCGCTCTGCCAAATGTCTAGGCCAGGTAGCCTGTCTGCCTGTCGCCTGTCAATATTGTCGGTGCAGACCACCAATTGCCATCCCCATGTGGCCACGCCATGTTTCAAGGTGTTCCAGAAAGGGCAGATTAAACATCCATGCCGGGGTCACATCCACGAAACCTCCTTGACCTCCCTGACCTCCCTGACCTCCCTGACCTCCAACGAGTGACGGACGACCAAGGAAATGAGCATCGGTACACCAGAGATGGCCTGCATGACAGACGATATTGGCCACTCCAAGCTCCACGTTGCATGGGCCCAGGCCCGGTGCATGTACATACATGTATACAACGAGCAGCAAGTGACAACTCGGGCACCATCGCGCAGGCATGGCCCCTGCTGTCGGCTCCGACGCAGAAGCGGAGAGTCGCCTAGGGGTCTTGGGGGTCCAGGTCGCCCCGTGGCCCCCTATTCTGGGGTTTGCCTGTGACGGACCTTTCGCAGCCTTCTTGCTAGGTCCTTGGCCTGCTTGGTACTATGTACTTACCAGGTAAGGTACATGTACAGTAGGTAGGTAGGTCGGTAATTGATGTCTGCAGCCGGGCTCGACAGCTCGAAGGACGGGCCCATCTTCCATCCATGTCCCGAAGCTTACCTGATGAAGCACGTCAGGTGAATCCTCCGCGTGCCGACGTCGATGACCGTGTTTGATGAGGATGATGATGATCAGGGGCTGGCCGGCTCAGCGACATGGGGGTATCGACCGCCACCATCGTATCGATTCTTTTTCCACTTGAACTTGGCGGGGGATCGAAGGTGCCTAAGGTACCTTACCTAATGTACCTATTCACATGTGCACATCGTAGTGACTCAGCACGACGGCGTGCCCAACAAGTCGCTGCTGAACTTGGATGAACAATGAAATCTGGAGTCGAACCCTTCGAGTCTGGCCTCGCTCATCCAACCCCTTTCATCGAGTGATGCGCTCTCGCCGTCACCGGCGCCCTCGCCGTCTGGCTTGCACCACAGCAAAGATGTCTCCTCATCAGCGATTGGACCACAAGCGTGTATCATCCGTCATACAACCCGCACACTACCTGCTCCGTCTCAACATGGACAAATTCAGCCTCAGCCCTTCTAGGATTAGCCGCCGTGTTTCCACCGATCTGGACCTCAAGGACGCCTGTCTCTGGGGCTGGCTGGGGCTGGCTGGGGCTGGCTGGGGCTGAGGACGCGCCCGGTTCTGCCGCACGCGCTGCTGAGATGCCTCCCTACTAGCCTGGCCTGGCCTGCTCGCTGGCGATCGAAGAGCGACCGTAAACCGATGAACCAGACAGCCTTACCGACCGCCGAACTTGGCTGCCTGCCGTTGTCTTCCACACCATGCACCTGCCTCGCCTTGCTTACCTCGTGCCTAGAAGGAATGCCGATGGGGTAGTTCCCTGACGGCTGGCCTGGTGCTGCCTGCTGACCTCAAAAATTGCTCCAACCTGCTGTGTCCTGGAACTTCTCATCACGCTCTTCCGGAATGACGGCACCGTGACCATGGCTCAACATGGCGAGCCACCAACCGCAAGCCGGCCAAGTGAGTGGCTGGCACATCGCGTTTCCAGCATTTCCGACGTGAGCCATGTCGAACCGAGACATCACGACAGTGCTTCGCCGCTGGAAACGGGTCACTTGGTATATCCCGTTCCTTCCACGACACAATCGAGATGGACAACGTCTCCCTACACAGGCGCCCAACGACCTGCGACATTGCACAGCGCGCACAGCATCCTTTCAGCGGCTTCGCTACGTTCGAAACCGACTTGCGCAGAACTCGCCGAACAAGACGGATATGACCTCTCACTCCTGGCGGCTGCAGCGCCCCTGGGTCACACAGACCATGACAATGACTTGGCTCCCCAACATGGACAAACGGAGGAGCCGTACGACCTGACGTCCATGATCGGGCCATTTAGCTCCCAAGGCGATGCTTTCCTCCGAAATCTACAGCAGCAAGAAGCAAACGGCCAGCTAACTCGTGGCCTCGGCGCGGGCCTCAAGCCCAGCACTACCCTCACCGGCGACGAACTCATGTCCCCCGTGGCGACGTCGCCTAGAGGCCTGTTGCGATCTTTCTCACGTCGCCAACCACAGCTCGATCGCGCCACGAGTATCAAGGTCCTGGGCCAAAACGAAGCCAACCGGCGAGGCGAGGTCATCGAGGTCATCATGGAAGAGGATCCAGCCTCTGAAGTCGACATCAGCGGCTTGACGGGACCAAACGCCCTCACTGATCGTGTCGATGCCATGCGTCAAACTACGTTTCCCGCCAAAAGGGGCGAGGCCCAGGTCTTCTACCCACAGCCCAACTGGAAGCCATTTTCCATGCGGTGGCCGTACCTCGCCGCGCTCATCCTCTTGTCTATCGGACTGGCCGTCATGGAGGAGCTGCTCTACCGCCAATCCCATCGCAATCCTTTGCTGAGCTTCGTATCACCCTCTGACCTGCCGGCAGGTCAATACTTTGCCTTCAAGTTTGCGCCGACCCTGCTCTCTGTCTTGTACGGAGTGCTCTGGCAATTTGTCGGCATCGAGGTCAAGCGCCTTGAAGCCTTCTACCAACTGTCGAAGGAAGGCGGCGCCCTGGCCGCCGAATCCATCAACGTCGACTACATAACGAGCCTCAACTGGTGGCGACCCTTTCAAGCCATCAAGCTGAGGCACTGGGCTGTGGCCGTCAGCTCCGTCGCCACCACCCTGGCTGTTTCTCTCGTGCCCACGTTTGGGGCCGCCTCCATCATCCTGTCCCCTGGCCGCACAGAGCGAATGGCGCATCCCGAGGAGGAAAAGGAGATATTGGTCGATGGACTGTGGTCGAGGCTTCTCGTCTCCACGCTTTGCGTCTGTGCTTTTTGCGGCTGCGTGCTTCTTTGCATTTTGCAAACTCGAAGATCAGGCCTGTTGGCAGATGTTCAGGGCATTGCCGGCCTTGCGTCCATGGCTGTTGTCAGTCACATTCTCGTCGATTTTGCCGATCTCGACGTTGTCAGCCACGACGACATTCATGCCAAGCTCAAGCATCGTCGCTATGTTCTTCGCAACGCATCGCTTGCGCCAGATGACGAGACACCCGTCACCTCCCGAGATCGCAACAGATACCAGGACGCCCACCTCTCCAAGAACCCGCACCCCGGCATGCTGCGGCCTTCGGGTTTCGGCAGCTTCGCCGTTGCCGTTTTGCTCTTTCTCGCCTTCATCCCCATCTTCCTGTTCACACCCGCCAGTGCCATGACAGACAAGGCGCCGTGGCTGGTCACGGCCCTGGCTGTGTGCATCAAGCTCGCCTGGGGCACGCTCGACACGGACGTCCGCATGATGGAGCCGTACTATATCCTCTCGCGACGGCACGCCCCGCCCTCCGTCCTCACGCTGGACTACACATCCGTGCCCTTTGGTCTGCTCCCCGTCCGCGCCGCCCTCAACGGCCACTGGCTCGTCTTCTTCGTGGGTTTCGGCTCCATCATGGCCGAGATACTGACCGTGCTCGTCACGAGTCTCGCCACCGTCCAGGGCAGCGACTTTATCAGCCTCGTCATCCCCGGCAATGCAAACGACGACACGAAGCACATCCAAGCCGGCCAGGAGACGAAGCTCTCCTTTTGGGTGTCGTTTGGCCTCGCAACGTTCATCCTCGTCTACATGCTCGTCGTGTCGGCGTTTGTCTTTGTGCGACGGCGCCACCCGTTCCTGCCGCGGCAGCCCAACACGCTGGCGAGCGTGCTGGCGTTCATACACCAGAGCAAGATGATCTGGGGGTTCGTGGGCACCGCCAAGCTGGACCACAAGGGCATGGTGCGACACCTCGCGGCGCGGGAGCAGCAGACGTACGGGCTCGGGCGGTTCGTCGGCAGGGATGGGCAGACGCACTGCGGCGTCGACGAGGAGGAGCTGCTTGGCGGCTACAAGCACGGGTCGGCCTTTCAGGGGCCCAACCAGCCGTGGGACAGGCAGTGGGATGCATACGAGTAGGCCGTCGAGCGTGTTGTTTATTTCGGGATTGGAGTGCGTCTGGCATAGAGTTTCATCCGGCGTTGGGGTCGACTGTCAAAAGTAATCATGGTGTCTTGGGTCAGGCCGGTCCGATTAGCGATACAGCAGTATTGAGGTGATGAATGTTCATTCTTCATGTGTGTTTCACACAAGCATTATAGTGCACTCACACAACCGCTTCTCGAGCGATGTAGCAATACCCATATTTAGATCATTCGCCGTCTCCCGATGCCTTGGCCGCCCCCGCACATCAAGGCAGGGCAATAGCCTCCATCTCGACATCAACATTCAACGGCAGCGTCCTGACGGCGACGCAGCTCCGCGCCGGCTTGTGCGTGAACCACTGGGCATACTCCTCATTCATCTCCTACGAGGGCGTCAGTCGCGCGCACTTGATTGCAAGACCAATTCGGAGGCTTCTGGAAACCGGCACTCACGGCAAAGTAGGCCATGTCGGCGAGGAAGACGTTGACCTTGACGACCTTGTCGATGGAGGAGCCGGCCTCGGCGAGGACGGCGCGCAGGTTCGCGATGACCTGGCGCGTCTTGTCGGTGATGGAGCCGGTGACGAGGGCGCCGTCGGGGGTGGCGGGGATCTGGCCGCTGAGGAAGATGGCGAAGGGGGTCTTGATGGCTTGGGACTGCGGGGGGGTGAGTTGGGCCCTGTGAGGGGTGCTTTGGTGGGGATGGATGGGGGGGGTTCACGTACGAGGGGGATCTGGTCGACTGAGGTGGGTAGAGCAGGTCAGTGAGGTGAATTTCCGTGCATGGGTTGTGACGAGGGAGACATACCGGGAGGGGCCTCCTTTGTGTGGACGACGCTGTAGCCAGACATGGTGTCAGAGAGAGATGGTGAGGGGGGTGTTTGCGTTAGGTGGAATGAAGTCCAGAAGGGTGAGATGGCGGTATTGGCGGTTGATTGACATGGCGGCAGTCGGGATGAGCCTTATATGCATTGCCTTTGGTGCATCGCCTATGGTGTGCCTATGGTGCATCGCCAGGCGATGACCCCAGCGAGTATACCGGACCCCATCTACGGCAGCGATGATGCATGGCTACGCCCTTGGCTTCACGATTTGTGGGGGATGGGCCCAGACGAAGGAGAACGGCTTAGCAATCGAGCGGATTGCTGTCAGTCTAGCTCTGTGTCGAACGTCGTGTCGGTCCGTTTGTCAGCAGATCGCGGGGTTGATGGCGCATATCTGGAGCACACGGGCCCGTGCCCGTGCCACGACGACCGGGAGCTCCGTTGTTCGTTGTTCGGGGAGGGTATCACCGGCCTTTCCTTCCCTGTGTGTCTTGCGCCCTATAATCGACCACTCACTCACCCGGGACGTGCCTTCCAGAACTCGGAAACGACATCGTGCCTTCTTGGCAGCCGGTTAGCCAAAGGCCTACGCTGCTACTTGGGTGCAATGCCCGAGCCATTGGCAACATCCGCCGGTATTCCCGCACGATAGCCTCTCACGCCGTGCATGACTCATCACGTGGACTCACCTCGACCTCAATATAGAAGGCGAGCAGTATCCTGCCCCCTTCCAAGACGTCAAAGACACACAGGATCCTCTGACCCTCTAACCCACCCCCCACACGCCCACCATGTCCCTCGATTTCGTCACGCTCGACGTCTTCACGACGACGCCCTACCAGGGCAACCCCCTCGGCGTCGTCCACCTGCCCCACGACAGGCCCATCACGCAGGCGCAGAAGCAGGCCATCGCCCGCGAGTTCAACCTCTCCGAGACGGTCTTCCTCCACGACGTCGACCCGGCCAACGACCCGGACCCCACGACCCGCCGCATCGACATCTTCATGACCAAGGGCGAGCTCCCCTTTGCCGGCCACCCGACCATCGGCGCCGCCGCCTACCTGCGGTCCCGCGGCGTCACGACCCTCGTCACCAAGGCCGGCCCCATCCCCATCACGGCCGGGCCCGAGGACGGGGTCGTCTACGCCGCCATCCCGCACGACGTGCACCTCAACTCGCGCCGGCTGCGCGACCACGACGAGGCGGCGCTGCGGCCCGGCAGCCTCCACGCGGTGCCTGCCATTCGGGGCGCCGAGCTCGCGGCCCCGCTGTTCAGCATCGTGAACGGCATGACCTTTGCGCTCATCAGGCTGGCGGGGCTCGAGGAGCTGGCTCAGGTGAGCCCTGGGCGGTTTCCTGTGGCGGCGGGTGACATCATGGACGAGGGGTGGCACGAGACGTTCATTGGACGCTATTACCATGTCATCACTGGCACAAGCGTCGGTGCAGACGGGACACGCACGGTCAGGCTGCGGACGAGGATGGTTGAGGACGAGATGGAGGACCCGGCGACGGGGTCGGCGGCGTGTGCGCTGACCAGCTACCTCGCGCTGCACGAGTATGAGGAGAGGGAGGTCAGGTTCGAGGTGACGCAGGGCGTCGAGATGGGAAGACGGAGCGACATTGGGGTCGTCGTCAAAGTGGCGGTCGGTACGGGCGGGCAAAGGATGGTGGACGGCGTGCAGCTGGGTGGAAGCGCCGTTGAGATCATGAGGGGGGCGGTACTGGAGCCAACAACTTGCTGAACCGGACACCGTGGATTAGGCCTTGTGGGGCGGTTTCAACCACAGAAAAATCAGTCGGCCAGGGTCCACACTCGGCTGCTGCTTGATGAAGGCTTCCGCAAACTCCGTTGACTGGCTGATTGTTGCTGCGGCTAGCGATCTTAGCGGCCACACTTGGTGTCTTAATGAGTGCTTGTCCTTCGTTGATACGCTCTTCTGCGGCCACATTTCGAATCCTTAGGTGAAGACGAACTGGGCCTCAGCTATCGACACTGCATATAAGATGAGATCAGGCCCGAGAATTTAAGAGTTGGCACTGAGTCTGGTTTATAAAGTCTGTCAGTCTCTGTACCAAAACGCGTTATAATAGAAAAACCATCTCTACCAGACCGATATCGACAAAATATAAGCAATGGTACACGCGCCCCGATCCACGACTCTATGGAATAGGGCGGCCGGTGCAAGCAACACCACCATCGTGCTGCCACCCCAAGATGAGGCGCCAACTGCGGACCTGTTCACGATCACAATGGGAATCGTGGGCCTCTTACTAACCATTGCCACCGTTACCACCGCATGGCGTCAGTATCTCCAGCAGCGACACCTTGCGCTCCCCCCGGCTCGCACCACCATAGCGCTCAATGACATGGCCGGCCAGGTGCCAGTGACGCCCTCATCGCCAATCCAGAACCATATCCGTCAAGCGGATCACCCATCTTCGGAGACTAGCCTGCCGACCTCCAATCGGTGAGCCTTTCCTGCAGTGACGGCATGGAGAAGTTAGTCCTGACATTCGGCAGAACGCCCGACGAGCACCAGAGAAATGACAATCAGGAATATACCTACGGCAGGCGGGGCCGGTGGGTGGGGCCGACTGGCTCCGGTGGATGGCCTCCACACAGTTCGTCCATTGGCGTAGCGGTTCGGCAAACTGCCGCCCACTTCGGGGCAGCTCAATCAAACCTATGGTTGCCGCAAGCACCTTCTCGATGCCAAATTCGATAGCGAGTACGAAAATCGTCCGACATCCTCACTCAGTCGTTTTTTGTTCTTCTTATATAGCCTGTCGGTCGCTCGGATTTCTGTACAGCGACTGGCCATGCTTCCAGAGTTCCTGTGAACCAAGCTCGCCTGACCGGTAAGAGACGCATCAAGAACTGAACGCGGAAACGGGGAGCCAACCGGTCACACGTCGATCAATATACCCTTGCCATGCCTCAGCACGGGGAGTCTCATATCTGGTAGTGAATATTATTTTCTGTGTTGTAGGATACCTTAGTACAAAGTCTTTCCGGCCTGTCACGCGCAGTTCGCTCGATGTCAGCATCAGCTCCTCATGTAGCCTCCAGCCAGCACAACACCAGTGGCATGAGCCACTGTGGCTTGGCCTGACAACCAACTTTGACGAGGATTAATGACACTGGATCCCTGACCTGGCTCTTCCGAAGAAAGGACCGTTGGCGCCGGGACGGGGTCCTTATGGGCCAGCCTCGCGGCGAAGCGAAAGAGCCGACCATGATCAACGGGCGGGTTCCGAAGTGCGATAACCGTCGGGGGTGCAGGTTTGACTTGCTCTTGTCTGTCGCCATGGGGATTGAGTCGTCATGACGTCGCGTGCAGCACCAAGTGGCAGCAGCAATTGACAGCAGCAGCGACAAAGCGTCATGACGCCGCGCCAGGGCAAGCCGGTGGGAGTCTACAGAAGGAGTGGCCGCTGGGCGCGCATTCACACTGTAATTGGATGCCCTCCTCCTGCAATGACCTGAGTTGAGGCACGTGATGGTCACATCGAGAATGGAATGACAATCCAATACCTACCTGCTCTGGCCCTGGCGCCGCAGTGGCAGTGCAGTCCACCAGGGGAATTTGCTGGTGCCTAGCATACGGCTCTGGAATCATGGACTGCTTAGCCCAAATGCCTGACGGTGAGGACCGGTAGGCGAGCAGGCGAGCAGGCGAGCAGGCGAACAGGCGAACAGGCGAGAGACAGACGCTGGCACCACGGTGCGCAGCGGCCCAAACGCTGCGCGTCGCAAGGGGTGGGCGGACAGCGGCACTTCCAGGCGATCGGCACGCCTAGCTTGTTGCTCTGTGTGTTCCATGTCTTCGTGCTGTTGATTCCTCGTCGCTCCATTGGAGATCATACCCCCGCCTCTGCCTGTGCCTATTCTGTCTGCAATGCTGAGCCGGTATCCGCATCAGACGTGTGATGGCCTGAATAAGCTCCAACAGGTTCAACGAGGACCAGATTGCCCTGAGGCTGAAGCTGCAGTGAGGATGCCAAATGGAGACATTGGCCAGAGGGGAAGAAAGGGGACCTTGGCTCTGCTACAGGGGGCACGACGACCAGTGGCTTGGGAGGGACGCTTGGGAATTGATGGACGCGCACGCGCCAGGGCTTGTGCCTTTAGATGGTGGCAGACCCGCAAATACGAGAGTCACGTGGATAGGGACTTGCGACGCCGCCAGAACACGGCGGAACATGATGTACCTTCAATCAGGTCGGGTGCAGTTCGTACTGGCTCTAACACGGTCTACCCGCTGGCTTGTTAATTTTTGCTGGTGGTGGTACCTCCCAGCGGCTCACCCCTGTCGCGCCCCTGGGCTGCCGCTGCCCATCTTGCCTCTGTCATGCCCCCCCTCCCCTGCCCCCTTTTCCTGTTCCCCGTATTGGCAGTCACCACCCAGCACGTCCCTGTTTCCTTGAATCGAGGCCTGGCTGCGCCTCCCTCCTTGTCCCCCCCCCAATCGTTCCCGCCTTCTCCGTCTCCTTGTCCACCTCATTTCTCTCCCTCCGCCCTCAACTCAGACCGTCCCACCTCCACTCCCTCCCCTCACCTCACACATCACCTCGCGACCACGACATTCCAGCCGGCGACATCCCTCGTCAACCCGTGTCAATCGCATTCCCCGAACCCAACGCTCGTTTTTACCCCCCCAACCCCATCGGAACGGGGACTGGTCTCACGTACCTAACCAACACCACCCGCTCCGCCAGTCCGTCGGCAGGACTACTCTCGCTCTCCTCCTCTTCCCTGCCTTCCGACCGACGAGCCTTGCAAACAAAACTGCACGAAAAGAAAAAACCGACCACGCAGGTACTCGTGCACCACTCTTCGTTCGACTGGTCGACCTCGCTCTTCACTTCCTCCAGCTTCTCTTGTAAATCATCACGAGAGCTAAGCGAAACCTACAACAACAAAGGGGGCCGTGTCAGCTCGGTTTCGCCTGGTTCGGAGACGTCTTCTACATCAAAACACCACAACCCACGAAATCACCACAACCTCAATCACTCATCCCAACCTCGACCCCTCGCCAATACCGCCATCATGAGGTGGTCACCGCTCCTCCTTCTCTCGGCGGCCTTGTCGCCCGTCATGGCCATCCGCAAGCTCGAGTCCAAGTCGCTCAACACGTGCCAGTCTGATTCTATGTTCTCGGCCAGTCTGTTCAACGTCGTCTTCACCCCCGACAACGGTACCGCCACTGTCAACATTGTCGCCGTCTCCTCCGTCCAGGGCAGCGTCGTCTTCGATATCTCGCTCAAGGCCTACGGTTACGAAGTCATCCATCGCACCATCGACCCCTGTGACATTGATCTCGCCGGTCTGTGCCCCATGACCGCCGACAAGATCAACCTCAAGTTCAACATCGATATTGACGAGGAGGCCACCAAGGTCATCCCCGGTATCGCCTTCTCCATCCCCGATCTTGATGCCACCTTCCGCGCCTACCTCAACCTGACGGAAACCGGCGAGAGTGTTGCCTGTGTCGAAGCCGACTTCTCCAACGGAAAGACTGTCGACCTTGTCGGAGTCAAGTGGGCCACTGCTCTCATCGCCATTCTCGGTCTCATCGCTGCCGCCGTCGTCTCCGGCATGGGCCACACCAATGCCGCCGCTCACTTGGCCGCCAACACCCTGTCTCTCTTCGGTTACTTCCAGGCCCAGGCCATCATTGGTCTCACCGGTGTCCACCTGCCCCCCGTCGTCCAGGCCTGGACCCAGAACTTCATGTGGTCCATGGGTATCATTCGCGTCGGCTGGATGCAGGACGTCTTCACCTGGTACCAGCGTGCCCACCGGCGGTGAGCCCAGCACTCTGTTTCAACTCGATGAGGACCTCTTCCGTCCAGGTCACCAAGCGATCGGTCGACTTTACTGAGGGTGCCGCTGGCATCATGGCTCGTGCTGGCACAGCCCCTCCCCAAGCGCGCCAACATTCAGCTCAGCTCCGGCTCCTTCATCGTGTACGGTATCCAGCGTGTCGCCTTCCGTGCCAAGATTGAGTCGACCAACCTCTTCATGACCGGCCTGACCTTCTACTGCATCTTCGCCGTCCTCACCGTTCTCGTCGTCGCTCTCTTCAAGGGTTTCACTGAGCTGTGCGTCAGGCAGAGGTGGATGAAGAGCGACAGCTTCCTCGAGTTCCGCAACGGCTGGCTCACCGTCCTCAAGGGCATCTTGTTCCGTGTCACGCTCATTGGTTTCCCCATGATGACAATCCTCTGCCTCTGGGAGCTCACGCAGCGCGACTCGCCCGCCGAGGTCGTCCTCGCCATCTTCTTCTTCTTCGGCATGTTGATCACCCTTGGCTGGGCCTCGTTCAAGGTCATCCGCATCGCTCGTCGCTCCGTCGCCATGCACCGCAACCCGGCCTACATCCTCTACTCGGACCCCCAGGCCCTCAACAAGTGGGGCTTCCTCTACGTCCAGTTCCGCGCCTCGGCCTACTACTTCATCGCCCCTACTCTTCTCTACACCCTCATCAAGGGCATGTTTGTCGCTTTCGGCCAGCACGTTGGAGTCGTGCAAGCCATCGCCTTCATGGTCATTGAGGCTGCCGCTCTCATCGCCGCTAGTGTCCTGCGCCCCTGGATGGACAAGAGCATCAACTCGTTCAACATTGCCATTTGCGTCATGAACTTCCTCAACTCCGTCTTCCTCTTCATGATGACCAATGTCTACGCCGCGCCCGACATTGTCCCCGGCGCCACCGGTGTCGTGCTGTTCATTGCCAACGCCGCCTTCTCCCTGATTCTGCTCATCATGGTTATCATCTCGAGCACCATTGTCTTCTGGCGCAAGAACCCCGATGCCAAGTACCAGTTCATGGCCGACGACCGTGTCTCTTTCATGAAGTCACAGACCCAGCTGAACACGACGACGGAGCTCGACGCTCTGGCCGCGACGGCCCGTGGTGACAAGGCCGGGTACAAGTCGCAGCTCGACCTCGATGACGACAACGAGTCCATCTCGTCTGAGTCGATGCGCCGCCGCGTGGACGGCAATGGCCACCCGCTGGCCGCGCAGTCTCAGACGTCGGTCAACCGCATCGGCAACCCGCCGCGCTCTCCGGTGGACCCTTCGGTGCCTCTGTTCCCCGCCGACAACCGCGGCAGCCCCTACGCCTCGAGTCTGAGGTCACCCAGCCCCTACGGCGGTGCGGGAAGCCAACAGAGCCTCCGCCAGCAGCACAATGCCAGCCCGGCGGGCTACAGGTCACAAAACAACGCCAGGTCAGTTGAACCCAAATCACTCTGATCGACACAACGAGCACTAACATGAAACAGCCCGTGGCAACGCGGTGCCGGCTACGAGCACTAAGCTCATCTATCGTGTTTCATTATCATTTTCGAGTAGAGCATTTGTCCGAGACTCATCTCGGCCCTGAGTGCCTCGGCCACTAGCCCGGAGGTATTCACTCACGACCCCCACTGGCATGGACTCGCCTCACACGATGTCGAGGACAAGTCCTCCCCCTCCATTTTCCTATATTTTAGTTTCAACGAATCTCTTGCCTCCGAGCATGAAGAAGGCGTCTTGAGAACTAGGCGTTATTGATTGCCGAGCCGGCTGTCAGAGGAGAGTCGGCCAAGCTGTACGAGTCTGCTTTGTATATAGGCTGGGTCATTGGGAGGGGACATCGAGACAGGGTCTCGCAGCTGGACTGGCCAGCTCAACGGGGGCAAAGCAGAGGACGATGAACAAACGGGCGCTGTTGCATACATGCCGCGGCCAACGTGTTCGAGTCGTGGGCTGCCATTGGGGTTATTGATATAGACTGGCGGCCCTGGGGACTCGTACAATAGTTAATCGACTCTCTTTGTTGCTGTTACTCCTGCCGACTTGGCACGATATCTCATTGCTGCGGTTGCCGGTGTTATGTTGTGGCTTTGAGATTGCCGCAGCAGCATCCGAAGGGCGCAGACGGTGTGACTTGTGAAGTGGTCAGGGGTTTCTGCTGCCTAACTTGAGTAATGAGACGTGAGCAGTGCTGAGCTTGACGATGGCTCGAAACCTTGCGACGATGACACAACCGGCAGGTGACGATGCGGTTGAGGGGAGCCACAGGGTTGCCTGGACTTGGACCTGGCGGCGACGAAAAACCTTGATGGCAATTCATGTGGTAAGATTTAAGTTATCACCGAGTCACCTCGGCCCCTGGCCTGGTCGTCGATCACAGATGACCTACTTTACAGATGCCGGTGCTTCTTTCGGCGATAAGCGGACTGGCAAGGGGGAGGGGTGCGTTAGAGGGAGCGAGGCGAGTCGAGACGAGACGAAGCGAACACTACCCGACCTTACCTTTACCTTGCCAGATCAACGGCAGTCGGACGGGATGCGCTGCTGAAGGCCGCGGCAAACCCACCATCACCACCACCGCCGCCGTCACTCTCCCTCTCCCCACACCCTCTATCCTCTCTCTTCCCTGTCTGCTGCTGCGCTACTTCACCCGCCCTATCCATCCGATGCAGTCTCGTCCCTGGATCCCTCCCAACGTTCGGCGTGCGCGAGAGGTCGCCGCCGTTGGGGCGGGCAAAGCGCCGGCTTCCCCTAGCCTCTTCGTCACGGAAGGCGCGCGCGGGGGCGCGGATGAAGGACCGACGCGACACGGACGGCACGGGCTGGCTTTGGTGGGCTGACTCGGGTGAAGGCAGGACGGAAGAGCAGACCGGCAATAAGATGGCAAGGGGGACTTGGAAGGAAAAAGGAGGGGGACTCCTCCCCACACGGCGGCTTGACGGCGTGGATAAACCAGGCGGTCATCGCGGTGGGAGCGGGGGATGAACGGCGGCATGTCCGAAGGAGAGGAACCCGAGAGAGGAACCCGAGGGAGAGGACACGGGAATGAGAGGCTTTTCGTGTTATTCTGCGCTGCCGCCGGGATACCCCCCCCTTCTCTCTCTTTTTCGTCTTTTTTTCTCTCTTTGCAATATGCAACCATGGGCTGATGATGAAGTGTGGGTAGACTTTTTTCCAGCGCTCCATCCCTCTGTCCCCCCCCCCCCACTTCTTCTTGTGAGACATTGTTCTTTGTTTCCTTTCGGCGCCGTGTCGATGTCACCTCCGTGTGATGGGCCTGAAGGGGGGACTGGACTGGACTGGACTGGAGGCTGACGGACATGGAGGGGGTGATCACTCCTCTCTCTGTTTCTCTCTCGCTCTTACATACACACTCTCTCTCTTTCGCGTGCGCGTGGGGGGGGGATTCAAGCATCCTGCACGCCGGCTTGGCTGCGCCTATCACAACTTGGCTTACTGGGGAGAAGGGTGGGAGGGTGTCATGAGCGTGGGAGCAATGGGGGGGAGATGCAGGAACTGCGCATGGTCGTATCGACAGGTCACTTCGCTTCTCTTCCAGGGCCGCTTTTCTTCTCTGCGTCAGGGTCCACCCCCCTACCTCTTGGTATGGCGGGCATGGGATTTCGTCACGGCAGAGCACGATGGCAAAGCGATGGGGGAGGGGGCCGGGGGAGGCGCTCGGATGGCGTGTGTCAGTTGGTAGTGTGAGGAGCGAGAGCCAGCAAGAGGGCAGGCCTGGCTTGAGGAGATGGGTGGAGTGCTGCGTGAAGGGGGGGGGGGTCATGCCGACTGGACAGACTGGCAGGCAGGCGAGCATACAGGCAAGCAGCCAAGCGGATGGCGCCCTGATTCGACGGGGGATCGGCTGCTTCTCGCCTGAAGAACCTCGATCTGGTGAGGTCGAGAAGCAGGGGCAGGGGTAAGGGGTCACCGATGGGCCTTGACGTTAGTGTGGAGGCAGGCGATGCGTTGGGTGAGAGACACGGATCGGAGTTCGAGAGGCACCGTAAAGGTGATGGGTAGGGGGTGTGATCTGAGGTGGCTTAGGGGAGAGCCGACCTGCAGCGGAGGGGGAGACAGGCCGGTCAAGCTGACGTTCAGCCACAGATATCGCGGGGCGCCCAGAGAGGGGCGAAGAAGGCTGGCCTCTGGGTCTGATGCCTATCGTCTCATTGACTGGCGGGCGGGCTTGCTGGCTGGCCGTCATAAACGCGCGCGCGGAGCCGGGTGAGCGACAGCAAGGTTCCGCGCCGTTGTGGAGTGCGGCCGTTGAGGGGGGGAGGGAACCAGCGCCGTGTGGCTTCGTCTAGTCGAGGACTGAGGACTAGAGGACAACAATACGAGTGGTGATAGGATAGAATACGACGAGTATGGCCCTTGCTCACCTCCGGTTCAGCCTTCCCGCGTCTAGGACGTGAGAAACGGGCCTGGAGCTATGGCCTGGTGTGTATGTAAAGCTCGAGGCTAGGGCAGCGAGGACAGTCTGGGTAAGGACAGAGCCTTTTCCTTTCCTAGGTAGACCGGGTGTGCGCTGTGGCGGACGGGGAGGCTAGACGTTTAGGACGAGGCGCTGGTCATCACTCGCCCTTCTCATCGGAGCTGATAGCCAAGGAAGCGGGGGGAGGGAGCGGAGGGTTTGCTTGTTGACGGAGAACTCTTTCAAGGTTTGTGACGAACATGCTAGCTTGGACCAGTGATGGGATGAGGGGTGAGTTCCCCCTGGCGGGAAGGTTAAGAGGCCCTTGAGAGGTCCAGAACAACTGGAGAAGAAGTATAAGGTAGTGAGAAGGAGAAAGAGAAGGGGAGAGAGGGGGGGGGAGTGTAACTGATGGTTGTAACGGGGCGTCTACCTACGCGATTAGAGTCCTCACGTCGTCGGCACGCGTCCCCAAGAGGCCAGCTGAGCTGTCATGGTGGAAGAAGGGGGGATAGAGGGGGGGTGAAGGCACGAGATTGGGGGCCCTTTGACGTCTTTCCGCTGGACTTGTGAGGTCGTGGTGCGAGGCGCGAGGCTTGAGCCTCGAGAGCCGGTGCCTGGTGTCTTGCGCGGTCGCTGTCCGCCACGATGAGCGTGCAGATCATGGCATCATGAAGGACGATTCAGATCTGGGGTCTGTCTATATGTCAGGGGTGCATGGTTGGGGCCAAAGGAGAGGGCATCAGACGTCTGTTCTCTGGTCCTTACCTTTCGACTCGGTGCGCCTTGTCCTTTTTACTCAGTGTTCTACCCACAGACACCTGGGGGACTCAGGTGACGGACGGGAGACAACGGGTCACAGCGGCGGCGAGTGAAGGCAAGCTCCATCACGTCTGACGGAGGCGGACGAACGGACGGGCCGACTTCAACGTCTCGTCTTTGGCTAGGATAGTTGGTAAACTGGAGCGTCACAGTTTCTGTCTCAAGCTTTCTCTCCCCTCCCGATAATTCTCGCCCGCCAATACGTGTGCGACTGCGTCATGGATGAACTGATCGTTGACGTGGCATACCGTTATTGCGACGACTATGGCATGATGGAACGGTAAGGCCTCTCTCTCGCCACAGAAGAGTAAAGACGCTCGGACAAGGCACGAGAACGCCGGACACTCTTCCAAGACAAGACAAGCCACTCGAGCCTCGCCGCAGTCACGCCTCCTGCCAGCCGCCGTCAAGGCCACGAGGACAGACAAGGTATCGTCAAGCGAGGGCCTCATCGAGCGAGGGAGGCCCTGCCAAGCGCGAATCGAGCCAGAGCGTGGACGATCGCCGCCCCGACAAAGTCAAGCGAAGCAGGAGATGGCCCTGGCCCTGCTCTTTCCAGGCCAAGAGCCCTGGCGAGCCGTTGTCCTGCTCCGTCATGGCTTCATCCCCGTTCTTGACGGGCAGGGCTGTCCATCACTGAACCACCTACGATAAGGTACCGGTTGGCTGTCTCGTTCAGCTGATCTCCTCCCTCGACAGTGTGGCCGAGAAAGCGCGAATCCTCGCAGCGCTACAGGGAGCTGTCAAAGCCCGGAACGGCGGACGCTATGCCTCCACGAGCATGGCGAAGAGGTCTCTCCCAATCTTTCCCCCAATCATGGCCACTCTCGAGGGGGCGCGGGGCCCAGCGCTGCCAAGACAACGACATGTAGTAAGCGCGCAGGCTGCTTCTTCGGAGTTCGCGATCCGATCAGAATATGAGAGGTGTAAATGGCCAATGAAGGAAAAAAACTGAACATGGTAAGACACTGCTTGGGCCCAAGAGGGCAAGGAGGGGTTGCCTTTTCGGAGGGGGGCGTGTGAAGAAAGTCGTCGACAGTGCCGGGTGGGGAGTGATCGACTCATGGGTGATAGCGGAGCCGCCATGCCCGTTCCGGCTCACGAGGGCCAGATGTGGCCTGTCAGATAACCCTGACGTCGGACCTGGTCGGTTCGGACTCGGCGACTGTGGTGGAGATGAGGGACATCGTGAGCGGGGGCACTGTCAACCTGTCCGGTGTGCGCCGGATCTGCCCCCCTCCTGGTCTTCCCGTATCCCTGTTTAGAAATGCCGTGCTTGTGCAGTCAGACGCTCAACATCTCGATGGCTTCCGGGGCTCCATAGTTTGGGTCAGTAAGACAGACATGGATCTTGTGTGTCATGGCCGCGTCTTTGAGCAGACTTGCTAGGGAGAGAGAGAGTAAGAGAGAGGAAGACATAGACACCAGGACCAATGGGACTGGCCAGACCACTCGAATTCGGAAAAGGCATGACAGAAGTCGATTCGAAGAATCAACCTCTGGGAGTGGCAGGATCCAGGCGTGTCTTCCCGGACTAAGCCCAAATAGAGTCGAGAAAGATGGAGCCTCTTCTGAGACATCTCACGCCAAGCTCCCAATTCTTAATCTGCATGTGATGCTTTCGGTTTACCGGTTGATCAAACGGAGAACCGCCCCTCTTCTCTCGTCCTCCCTTCTTTCACTTGTCACTTAGCTGTGATCAGGGCACTCGCTGGACTTCTTCAAGCGAGCTGTCGCGCCAAACGTAGGCCGTCAGCCATGTCGTGCATTTCGGCCGATCGGGCCTCGATCTGGAGGGGTGGGAATGAGAAACCAGGATAAAGGCAGGGAGGGTGTGTATGTGTATGTCTGGGTTGGGGTCGATTGAAGAAAGGAGTCCCCTGACTGAGACACCGTGGGCGAGGATCAGTGGCGTCGAGCCGTCACGTTTTAATCTGGCATGGCATAGGCGCCGTGCAGCTCAATAGCTTCCCCCCACCTGCGACGGCGGTAGCATTTACCGCCGTGCGTTAAGCGTTCAGCGCGCGATGTACCATGTAGTTGAGAGCAGTAGAGTCCGTTCCAAGGGGGGGTGGGGGGGGGGATCGCGATGCCTCAGATACGCTTACTCTGGCCACGTTACGAAGAGGCCAGTGATCACGTTCCGTAAAAGCCAGCCAAGCAAGACGAGGAGACGTGGAACGGCGAGCGCTTGCCAGCCCTGTGGCAAGCCACGATTCATCTCTAGGCGCGTAAAGCCTCGTCGATGTCGTCAGTGGCCGCTCGCGCGACGAAAGCAGAGCAACGGCGCTCGGGACACCTTTCCCGCGAGAGCGGGAGGGGATGGGTTTCGAGGCTGGGGAATGGGCATTCGACTTTGTCTCGCCTTGGGCGGAAAGGCACATCCAGGCCCTAGACGAGTGTTTCCTCTTTGGTCTTTTCGCTTCCCTTTTCTTTGCCCCCATCGCGGCGACCAAGGCAAGATCTCGCCGCCGTTGCGAGGCCGGACGTAGCCATCCGCCCTCTCGCCCCCCCAGCTTCTACATGTACACCACGAACAGGCCGTTTGCAGACAGCTCGATGACCACCCACGGTTCCCTCTCCCTTCGCGTCAGTGCCAGGGCCACTACACGCGACTGGCGAAGCGAGACAGGCGAGCAATTCTTTGACAAGCAGAACCTTAGATCTAGCTGTCAGTGCAACGCTGCGGCGGGGACCTTATCGCGTCTGACACACATGATCAGAGACACGCAGGAACCTGTCAAAGGTCAAAGGGAGAGGCGAGCAAGACGTAAAATGTCTGTTTGCAGACATTTTGTTGGGCCTCGCCCCGCTGTGCCCTGACATGGGAGTCGGTTCGGTGCCGAGATCGATGGCGTCAGGGCAGCCAGACAGCTATCTGCTTGCGGCCGACTGTGCTGCTGCTGCTTGGTCTCTGTCGGGGGGAGGGGAGTTGTAACGTGCCAGGTGGGCGTGGTCAGGGTCCTGTTGCGACCCTGGGCCGAGTGTTGCTGCTCCACTGGAATGTGCCGTTGCTGAGAGCAACGCAGCCGACGACGGATGAGTTCGGATGGTGGCCACATCGCGAATTTCGGTATGTTCCTGCGGCAACGGTAAAGAGAATGAATGGTTTCAGCGTCTTCGCGGGCGAAAGGACTGTCCCAGCTGAAGTTTGAGCGTCAAGTTGATATTGATGTATTCGATATCTGTCCCTTTTGCGGGCTTAACAGGAGAAACTAAACGACCAGTTCACAAAGCCAAGAAACCTGCCCGCTGAAAATCGGTGACTAGATGGAGAAATAGACAAAAGGGAGGTTGGGTAATGAGGGTAGTAAGTAAAAGAGGTGTGGGTGTGGAGGCGTTAAGGGGAAAAGAAATTAGAGAGACAAGTTTGCGCTCGGTATGCTGTAAGTCACCCAACCAGATGGAGGTGAATGGTGATACAATGAGGGAAAGGGGTGGAAAAAGGAAAGAAAAGTGAAGCGTCTCCAAAGCCAAAATCAACGACTCCGAAAAGCCTGCCCCCGATCCGTTTGTGTTGTTCCCCAGGCCCTTTCACGAAGAAGCTGGGGAACCAAATAAAACTCCGCCTGTCCATCCATAGTGGTACAGTCCCATGAGACACCCCGGTAAGACGCCGCCTGTGTAAAGATAGAGAGAGAGAGAGAGAGTGCCCGAGTACTAGAAAACAAAACCCTCTTCGACGAGCTTGTCAATGTCGCCGCCTGCTGCTGCAACAGCCTTGAGGGCGGCCTCGCTCATGCGTCGCCTCTTTTCGAGAGCCTCTTTCTCGCGCCGCGCCTTGGTCTTGCTGGATCCCGAGGGAGCAACACCCGTCATGAGAAGAGTGTGATCGCTGGGTGTGAAGTTGACAAAGCCGCCGCCGCCGCCACCACCATCGCCCATGCCAATGCCGAGCCCGAGCGCGCCACTGCTGCCAGCGCTGGGCGTGCGCGGGTGGCCAGGGCGACCACCGGCTGGGGTCTGGAAGGAGCGGCGCTTCTTCACGCTCGCACCGATGACGGGACCGCCAGCATTGGAAGAGCCGGACGAGTTGCGAGACCGACCGTTGGGCGTGGGACTGGCCGATGACGAGTCTCGAGCACGGTTACGATTGGCGGAGGAGGGTCGCTGCCGGCGCATTGGCGTCGTCATGTGTCGCGCGCCAGCCGAAGGAGCGCGCGGCATGCGTGGGCGACGTTCGGTCTGGGGTTGGGGCGGCATTTGATGCTGCAGTTGCTGTTGGTGATGTTGCACCACTGCGTGGTGATGCTGGGGCATGTGCGTGTAGGCGCCGGACTGGACAACCGGCGACGATGAAGAACGGTTGGCCTGGGACATCTGGATCATGAGTCCTGACATCTCGTGGGGGTTGCCAGCAGTAGGCATGTGCTGCTGCTGCTGCTGGCCCTGGTCATGATACTCATACGCCATGTCCCTACCCGCACCACCAGCGGCTTGCTGGGTGTGGAGGGCGAGGATTGTAAGTGGCATTGCGGCATTCTGGGCCTGGAACTGTGAAGCTGGCGTCGTTGAGGTCGACAGGACCATGCCA